TATAAATATATATATAAAGAAATCACCAAATCATAAGTCCAGAAAAAAAAATATATATATGCCAATACCACAAAAAAAAAAATATATAAAAAAAAAACAAAGACAAAAAAAAAAAAAAAGTAATGACGTCACATCAATCAAGCTCCGCCCTTTTACGCGTTTCGTCATCGATGTCCTCCGTCCGCTCCGTGAGGACGTCGATGACGAAAAGCGTAGGGCGGAGCTTGATTGATGTGACGTCATTACGTTTTTGGCTGCCAGCTACTGCGCATGTGCTGAGTAGCCAGGCTCGTTTATGTGATTGCTGTTATGCTGTTGATGCTGGTGTCGGCTGGGACACCTCTTGAGTAAGTGCAATGAGTACCTAAATAAAGGAATTGGTTTTTATAATATTGCACATGAAGTCTTTCTGTTTCTCTCGAGTGCTTGGCATTTCCCCCATGGATACGTTTGAAGGTGGTCCTTTATCTATTGGAGAAGTGGATTTTCGATTAACTACAAAGTTTTTCATCCTGTTATTTCGATCGATGAGGATCGGTGTGTTGCAGAGTTTTTTTTTTTTTTCTGAAGATATATTTATGGATGATCTGCCATTATATTATCAAGGTTTTTTTTGGTGAAATTTTTCATATTTAGACACTTTTTTTGCAAAAAGTTTTTTGCACTTTTTTTATTTTTTTTTTTTTTTTTTATATATATTTTTTTTTTGTGGTATTGGCATATATATTTTTTTTTCTGGACTTATGATTTGATGATTTCTTTATATATATTATACACATTTACTAGCGCAAATTATTTATTTATTGGTACACTTTATATATGGTGATTTTTTGCAGCTGGTACACTATTAGTAAGTTATATAATTTTGACCATAGGCGCTATTATTAATTTTTCTTAATAATATAATCAAACCAAAAACACTGAAATGTGAAATAGAGCGCCAAGTTCGCACATCACTGAGCTCAGTCGCAGAATCGTTTTCAGTGTCTGATGAGGAATTTCCCCCACGAATCATTATCACTCAATTCTGCAAGTGGTTCTGATTTACTATCGCTGTTCTCTAGCCGGTCTAAAACCGCTTTTGATCTAAAGGGGCGCTTTTTGGACGCCGTGGACGTTTCTCAGTTTCCAGGCAGAAAGAACAGTAAAAAATGCAGGCAGGGCGCCGGACAAAGCACTCGGGACAAAATGTATGTGAAATGGTTTGATGCAGGAATGTTATACTATGTGATTTTAGTTTTTTAGAAAATGTCAGTTTTTAAAATTTTCAAATTTGCCGCCGTTCCATCCCCCGTATGTCCCCATGCTCGCAGGGAACGGAACACGGAAGCCGGATGCCGGCATCGGTCAGAGGGACCGATGCCGGCAGGGGACACATTGCGGCAGCGAAGGACAAGGTAAGTGCTGGAGGGATCCCGGAGCACACTGCAGTGTATTCCCGAGTGTAGCTCGGGGGGGTTACCGCATTTGGTACTGAAACTTTACTCTGAGCTACACTCGGGAATACCGCCAGGGGGGGGTTAATGTCTAAACTGCTGGCAACAAAAGTGAGTCCACCCCTAAGTGACAAGGTCCAAATTGGGCCCAAAGTGACAATATTTTGTGTGGCCACCATTATTTTCCAGCACTGCCTTAACCCTCTTGGGCATGGAGTTCACCAGAGCTTCACAGGTTTTCCACTGGAGTCCTCTTCCACTCCTCCATGATGACATCATGGAGCTGATGGATGTTAGAGACCTTGCGTTCCTCCACCTTCTGTTTGAGGATGCCCCACAGATGCTCAATGTGGTTTAGGTCTGGATACATTCTTGGCCAGTCCATTACCTTTACCCTCAACTTCTTTAGCAAGGCAGTGGTGGTCTTGGAGGGGTGTGTTTGGGGTCGTTATGTTGGAATACTGCCTCCGGCCCAGTCTCTGAAGGGAGGGGATCATGCTCTGCTTCAGTATGTCACAGTACATGTTGGCATTCATGGTTCCCTCAATGAACTGTAGCTCCCCAGTGCTGGCAGCACTCATGCAGCCCCAGACCATGACACTCCAACCACCATGCTTGACTGTAGGCCTGATCCATGGGGATATTTTAGAGCCTGGTGAAGAGAGATGGAACCAGTTTCAATTTCATATTTTATATGAGCCATTAACCATTTCAATACCGGGCAATTTTACACCTTCCTGCCCAGGCCAGTTTTCAGGTTTCAGCACTCTCACATTTTGAATGACAATTGCGCGGTCATACAACATTGTACCCAAACTAAAATTTTATCATTTTCTTCACACAACTAGAGCTTTCTTTTGGTGGTATTTAATCACTGCTGGGGTTTTTATTTTTTGCTAAATTAACAAAAAAAGTCCAAAAATTTTGAAAAAAAACACGTTTTGCTTTGTTTCTGTTATAAAAGTTTTGCAAATAAATAATTGTTGTTCATAAATTTAGGCCGAGATGTATTCTGCTACATGTCTTTGGTGAAAATAACCCAAATTAGGATGCATTTTTTAGTTTGTAGGAAAGTTATAGAGTTCACAAACTATGGTATAGATCTGAATATTGATCAGTCCTGAAGTACTGACAGCCATTCTAATTTCTTGAGGTCCAAGAAAGTCAGGACAGTACAGATATCCCCCAAATGTCAGAACAGTACAGATATCCCCCAAATGTCAGAACAGTACAGATATCCCCCAAATGTCAGAACAGTACAGATATCCCCCAAATGTCAGGATGGTACAGATATCCCCCCAAATGTCAGGACAGGACAGATATCCCCCAAATGTCAGGACAGTACAGATATCCCCCAAATGTCAGAACAGGACAGATATCCCCCAAATGTCAGGACAGTACAGATATCCCCCAAATGTCAGAACAGTACAGATATCCCCCAAATGTCAGAACAGTACAGATATCCCCCAAATGTCAGGACAGTACAGTTATCCCCCAAATGTCAGAACAGTACAGATATCCCCCAAATGTCAGAACAGGACAGATATCCTCCAAATGTCAGAACAGTACAGATATCCCCCAAATGTCAGAACACTACAGATATCCCCCAAATGTCAGGACGGTACAGATATCCCCCAAATGTCAGGACAGGACAGATATCCCCCAAATGTCAGAACAGTACAGATATCCCCCAAATGACCCCTTTTTGCAGAGTAGACAGTCCGACGTACTTCATAAGAGGCATGGCGAGTTTTTTGAAGTTGTATTTTTTTTGTCATAATTTTTTGGAAAATTAAAAAATTAAAAAAATTAGTTTCACTATTTTTTTTTTCATATTGTCACCAGTGCAGTACAGCATCATCATATAACCGGCATGGCGGTGATCAGGGACACTGACTGGTGACAGTACGAAAAAAAAAAAAATATATATATTTTAATTTTTTTTATTATGTTTTATTAATTTTTTTTAAGATTTTTTTTCATATTTCACTATGACCAAAGTAGTAGAATGTTACCATAGTAACATTGTACTACTTTGGGGAAGTGATCAGTATTTTTTTTTTTTTTTACACATTTGCTTATAGCAAAGAATTACTTTGCTATAAGCAAGCATTTACCTGAATGACATCGATTCATTCAGGGTTTTTTTTTTTTTGTGCTTAGCTGTGATTTGGCCACAGCTAATCACATGACATGTGCATGTGATTAGCTGTGACCATTCACAGCTAGACACTAGTATACAATGGATGGCATGAATGAAGCCATCCATTGTATACAACTGTCATGTGACCTGCTGTGATTGGTCACAGCAGGTCACATGGTACCGGCAAGGAGGGCCGATACTCAGATCTGTCATCGGCCGTGTCCGAGGTACACGGCTGGTGACAGATCGCGCCGCTGCGTGGCTCTGCAGGAGCGCAATCTGCGCATGTGCGGGAGGATGCCATATGGCGTCCACCCGGAACGCTGATGACATTTGCTGCCCGCCATTCGGCCATAGGGCGGTGTGACCAAAATTATTCAACCCCCACTGAAATTGAGTGTTTTGGCCAGTTTGACATTGCTTTTGATCATTCAGTCATCTTGCTTACATTTACATTAAAGAGGCACTTGTAGGTCAGACAAATATAACATAACAGTTATAATGAAATAACCACAAATGTCTTTTCTGTGCTCACAGCATTATCAGTTTTATTCAACCCCCAAGTGACATTCAATCTTAGTACTTAGTACAGCATCCTTTTACAGTTATATAACAGCTTTTAAACGTGAAGCATAGCTTGACACAAGTGTCTTGCAGCGATCTACGGGTATCTTCGCCCATTCTTCATGGGCAAAGGCCTCCAGTTCAGTCACATTCTTAGGCTTGCGCACTGCAACTGCTTTCTTTAAGTCCCACCAGAGGTTCTCAATCGGATTTAAGTCTGGTGACTGCGATGGCCACTCCAAAATGTTCCAGCCTTTCCTCTGCAACCATGCTCTAGTGGACTTGGAGGTATGCTTGGGATCATTGTCCTGTTGAAAGGTCCAACGTCTCCCAAGCCTCAGGTGTGTGACGGACTGCATCACGTTTCCATCCAATATCTCCTGGTACTGAAGAGAATTCATGGTACCTTGCACACGCTGAAGCTTCCCTGTACCTGCAGAAGCAAAACAGCCCCAAAGCATGATTGACCCTCCACCATGCTTCACAGTAGGCAAGGTGTTCTTTTCATCATAGGCCTTGTTCTTCCTCCTCCAAACATAGCGTTGATCCATGGGCCCAAACAGTTCTAATTTTGTTTCATCAGTCCACAGAACACTATCCCACAACTTTTGTGGTTTGTCCACATGGCTTTTGGCATACTGCAGTCGACTCTTCTTATTCTTTGGAGACAGCAAGGGGGTACGCTGGGAGTTCTGGCACGGAGGCCTTCATTACGCAGTGTGCGTCTTATTGTCTGGGCTGAAACTTCTGTACCCACATCTGACAAATCTTTTCTCAGTTCCTCAGCAGTCACACGGGGACTTCTCTCCACTCTACGCTTCAGGTAGCGCACAGCAGTCGAAGTCAGCATCTTCTTTCTTTCTGCCACGACCAGGTAGCGTTTCAACAGTGCCCTTTGCCTTGAATTTGCGAATGATGCTTCCTAAGGTGTCTCTTGGTATGTTTAACATCTTTGCAATCTTCTTATAGCCATTGCCCTTCCTCCTGTGAGAGAAATCACCTCTTCTCTTGTCTTCCTGGACCATTCTCTTGCCTTCACCATGTTTGTAACCACACCAGTAAATGTCTAGAAGGAGCTGAGTATCACAGTCATTTTAAAGCTGCCTAATTGGTGCTTATTATGCTTGATTGCTGCTCGGTGACATCCACAGGTGTTTTCAATACCTGATGGAAAGCACCTGTATGAACCTCTGTTCTTCAGAGTGGTAGTCTTTAAGGGGTTGAATAATTGTGGCAATGAAGAAACCACATAAGAACCATTTACTACTGTATTACATAAACAATTGATGTCATTTTAGTTGCATTTGGGTAGTTACAACGTCCTTGTAGGATTTGATTCTGAATACAATTCCAAATGTACACTATAGTCCCTAAACCCCTTTACAGCATTGGGGGTTGAATAATTTTGGTCACAACTGTTTGCTGCCCCCTCAAAATAACTCAACACACCGCCATTAATGTCTAAACCACCGGCAACAAAAGTGAGTCCACCCCTAAGTGGCAAGGTCAGCCCCCCAGCCCCTCTCCTTTTGTCATTATCACATTGGAGGAGGAATAGGTGAAAGAAGAAAAGGAGGAGGAGTAGAAAGAGAAGGAGGAAGAGGTTACATTAGAAACAGAAAGGTGACAGCAGAAAAAAAAACTTTGTGTTCCATCAAGTCTGCCCATTTATTTTTTTTTTAATACGTGTTTTTATATTTGTGGGTTTTTTTTGCTAACTTTTTGTCTGAGTATAGATCTATGTTTGTCCCAAGCATGTGTGAATCCACTTACACTTGACTCACTACCTCTGCTGGAAGTCTGTTTCAAGCCTTGACTACTCTTTCAGTAAAATAATACTTTCTAAGATTAGCTTAGAACTTTCCTTCAGTTAGTTTGAGGTCATGCCCCCGTGTTCTTGATTTTGGTTTCATATTGAAAACACTGCCCTCTTGAACCTTTAAGGGGGTGAATACGATTCAGGAGGGCTGTATTTTCCATATGAAACCAAGATCAAGAACATGGGGACATGACCTCAAACTAACTGGAAGAAAGTTCAAAACTAATCTTAGAAAGCATTTTTTTACTGAAAGAGTAGTTGATGCTTGGAATAGTCTTTCAGCAGAGGTAGTGAGTCAGTTAGGGGTTAGTTGACTTAGAAAGGCTTGACACCTCTACCTCCACATGGTTCTGCTACCTCTGCTTTTAGGCTTGGCTGTCATTTTTTTTTAGATGGTCTTGAACTAAGTGAGATTAAGTTGTAACAGTATCACATAAATCATAGGTTAGATATCACATCATCTATGTTCATTGTGACCCTTCTGCACGTGTTGTATGATGGCCTTTTTCATATGTTGGTTTCTAAAACTGTAGATAAGAGGATTTAGCATTGGGGTCACCACTGCGTAGAAGACAGCGGCCACCTTTTCTTGCTTCCTATGTGAGCCGCTAGATGGAGTGAAGTAATTGAGGTAAATTGTTCCATAGAAGATGGTAACACACGTGAGATGGGAGGAGCAGGTGCTAAAGGCTTTTCTCCGGCCAGCAGCAGAATTTATTCGTAAGATGGGAAGAAATGATGAGAGTGTAGGAAGCCAAAATGGTCATCATTGAATTCACGGTAAATAAACACACAAAGAAAAAGGTGACGATGTTGCAGGTGCGGGTTTCAGAACAAGACAACCTGACCAGTGGAGCAATGTCACAGAAGAAGTGGTCTATGAGGTTGGATTCACAGAAATCAAGACTAAACAGACTGATGGTCTGTACGACAGCATGAAGAAATCCCATGGAGAAAGAAAGAATGACAAGATTGAGACATTTCTTCTTTGTCATTATTGGGATATAGTGTAGAGGGTAGCAGATAGCAACATATCGGTCATATGCCATGATGGACAGGACAAGGAGCTCTGTACCTATTGTTGCAGAGAAGAAGTAGAATTGCAGGGCACAACCAATAAATGTGATTAATTTCTTGTCAGACAGAAGATCAGACAACATTTTGGGGGCAATGACTGAAGAGTAGATGAGGTCCACCACAGACAAGTAGCTCAGGAAGTAGTACATTGGTGTGTGAAGACTGGGCGAGATATGAACCATTGTCATCATCCCAGAATTTCCACATATGGTCACCATGTAAACCAATAAAAACAGCATGAAGAGGAAAGGAGCAATTTCTTTATCATCAGATAGACCAGAAAACTCAAACACGGTCACCTTGGTCTTGTTTTTGGGATTCATGAGTTCATTTGCTCTAAAATACTGGAATTAAATATCTCATTTATTTATTCTGGAATATACATGAACATTACACAAGTTACCTATGATTATTCTAATAAAAATATATCTCACAGAAGAATTATTTTATCCAAACCAGAAATTAAACTTCTGCTGCTATAACGTGTAGGCCTGCAATAGCCTCTTAAATTCTCTCGTCAAGGCCAAACCTGGGGCCATTCTGATAGGCTAAGCTCTGACACTTCCAGTTGGTGTCAGAAGGTTCCACAAAGTACCTCCCATACACGTTCCTATAGGGTCCATCACTATGATGAGCTGCTTCATGTTCCCTTAAGAATGTGCAGGAAGCAGATAGGGGAAGGAAACGCCTAAGCTTTGGCCTTCAGGACAGCCTGAGGTATACCCACGACAGCACAGTTTTGGAGGCTCTAAATCCCAGCACTTTGCGCTTGTATTTGTTCACATTTTCTTCTTAGGTTAATCATCCAAAAGGCTTATTTATCAATAGTGCTGTTTAAAGATACGTTTGCCCATTTGTTGTACTCCATCCTTTAAATGCCAGCCCCATCCCATCCAAATTGTAAAACAGAATTATGGAGTAGTATTAAAAACAGGCAAACTGGTTCCTGAAAGTATTGTACTTGATTGAAAAATAAACTACACTGCTCACAAAAATTAAAGGAAGATTTCCTCTAGTGGGCCCTGTGTTCAATGACCGGCACCACAGAGCTGGATTGGCATTCGCCATTGAACACCAGAATTGGCAGGTCCACCACTGGCACCCTGTGCTTTTCACAGATGAGAGCATGTTCACCCTAAGCACATGTGACAGACGTGAAAGGGTCTGGAGAAGCCGTGGAGAACGTTCTGCTGCCTGTAACATCGTTCAGCATGACTGTTTTGTGGTGGATCAGTGATGGTCTGGGGAGGCAGAGACCTCTACAGGCTAGACAATGGCACCCTGGCTGCCATTAGGTATCAGGATGAAATCCTTGGACCCATTGTCAGACCCTACACTGGTGCAGTGGGTCCTGGGTTCCTCCTGGTGGACGACAATTTCCAGCCTCATGTGGCGAGAGTATACAGACATTTCCTGGAAGATAAAGGAATTGATACCACTGAATGGCCCCCACACCCGCCTGACCTAAATCCAATAGAACACCTCTGGAATATCATGTTTCGGTCCATCCGCCGCCGCCAAGTTGCACCTCAGACTGTCCAGGAGCTCAGTCATGCCTTGGACCAGATCTGGGAGGAAATCCCCCAGGACACCATCCGTCGTCTCATTAGGAGCCTCCTTCGACATTGTCAGGCATGCATACAAGCACGTGGGGACCATACAAACTACTGAGGACCATTCTGAGTTGCTGCAATGAAAGTTCCGCAAAATGGACTCGCCTGCTGCATCATTTTTTCACTTTGATTTTTGGGTCTCTGAATTCAGTCCTCTGTAGGTCGATCATTTTCATTTCCATCAAACGATGGGGCGTCCTTACGTTCCTAACACATTACCCCGTCCATGTCAGTATAGATATCCAGCAGATTTTCTCCCCATTGAGATCTGATGGGTTTTCAAAGTATTCCTTTAATTTTTTGTAACAGTGTATCTTTATACGTATTGTTTTTAGTGTTGGCGCAGGGATAAATATCATACTTCAGTAAAAAAGGGGCATTTTTTAAAAATTGCATATTAGTCATTGACTGAGACATGTATTCCGACATACTCCCCAACATTACCCGCCCCCTCCATCCTGTTGGTTATATTAAAGTGCCATTTTATTACATTTCCATAAAAATTGAAATAGAAGAAAGTTACTGAGAAGCCTCAGAGGGTGTAATATTTTATGTTCTCACCATTCTCTTCCAGAACATTAGAACACATCACTTTAGATGTCGGCATATTTTAGCACTTCAAATACACCTAAATATCTTTATAGTTAAGAAAAACTATGTGATAGTAGACTAAAATGCCTGAATTTTGCTCTTGGGTGTAAATTCATTTCGATGGCCAAAATAAATTATTATTCTGACCAATGAAGCGAATTAACGGCCAATCGCTTGATGCGCTAAAGTGCATTACACACTTTTAGTAACGTCAAGAGTTTTTTGTGCCAGTCAAGGTCCAGACCTAAATCCAATGGAGAATCTGTGGCAAGACTTGAAAATTGCTGTTCCCAGACGCTCTCCATCCAATCTGACAGAGCTTGAGCGATTCTGCAAAGAAGAACGGGCAGAAATGTCCCTCTCTAGATGTGCAAAGAGACATCCCCAAAAAAGACTTGCAGCTGGAATTACAGCCAAAGGGGGTCCTACAAAGTACTGACTCCGGGGGGCTGAATACAAATGCCGCCACACTTTTCACAGATTTATTGGTCACAAATGTTGAAAACCATTTCTCATTTTCCTTCCACTTCACAATTATGTGCCACTTTGTGTTGGTCCATCACATCCAATCCCAATAAAATACATTGACGTTTTTGGTTGTAACATGACAACATGGGGAACATTTCAAGGGGTATGAAGACTTTTTTAAGACACTGTACCTGCATGTTTTGGTAGCCAATAAAAGTATTCATAAGAAGTCAACGAGTTGCCGGCTATCACTTTTGAAGTTACCAATTTTGAGTGGACGCTTGAGCCTGCGCACCGAACTCCTGTCCTTGTATGCTGGAAATAGCAGTAGAGCTTGGGTAAGCTTTGTTCCAATGTTCATTAAAATAATACCTGGTGATCCTGCCTCAAAAATCAACATACATTTCACAGGCATGGTCCACAGCCTCCACCATCTGGAAGTCGGTTCAGAGCAATGATGTGCAGCTATAAGTGGAGTACCTGTAGACAAAAAATGGCTGAAAGAGACTGGAGGACGTCAGCATCACTAAAATGAAAACAAAATGAAGAAAAAAAGGGATAAAAATTGTATTTTATGAAAGAACATTTAAAAAAAATGACAATTTGTAGGATTCACAGTGCACAGGACATGATGAAGGTGTCAAGGTTTGCTTTAAATAGAATGGTACAACCTCAGAATAAAATAAAATTGTTAAAAATTCAAAAGTAAAACAATGTGCTGAAATGTTGCAGCATATATTAACCACTCAATGCTGGGTTACTTTCACCCCCTTCCTGCCCAGGCCAATTTTCAGCTTTCAGCGCTGTCACATTTTGGATGACAATTGCGTGGTCATGCAACATTGTACCCGTATGACATTTTTATCATTTTTTGAGACAGATAGAGCTTTCTTTTGGTGGTATTTAACCACCACTGACGTTTTTATGTTTTGCTAAACAAATGAAAAAAGACCAAAAAATAAAAAAAAAACCTTTTTTTGTTTCTGTTATACAATTTTGAAAATACAGTAATTTTTCTTATTCACTGATGTGCGCTGATGAGGCTGCACTGATGGGCACTGGTAAAGCTGCACTGATGGGTATTGGTGAGGCTGCATTGATGAAGTGGCACTGATGGCCACTGATGAGGCTGCACTGATGGGCACTGGTAAGGCTGCACTGATGGGTATTGGTGAGGCTGCATTGATGAAGCGGCACTGATGGCCACTGATGAGGCTGCACTGATGACACTGATTGGCAGTCGTGTAATGCCGCACTGATGGGCACTCATGAGGCTGCAATGATGGCCATTGATGAGGTGGCACTGATGGGCACTGATGAGCTGCACTAATGGGCACTGACAAAGAGGCTGTACTGATGGACACTGATTGGCAGTACTGTTATGCCTCACTGATGGGCACTCATGAGGCTGCAATGATGGGTACTGATGAGGAGGCACTGATGGCCATTGATGAGGTGGCACTGATGGCCATTGATGAGGTGGCACTGATGGGCATTGATGAGCTGCACTGATGGGCACTGATAAAGAGGCTGTACTGATGGGCACTGATAAAGAGGCTGTACTGATGGGCACTGATTGGCAGCACTTATATGCTGCACTGATGGGGCTGCACTGATAATCAGTGTCCTGATTATCAGTGTTAATGTCCCTGTCACAAGAAAGCCGGTTATTGGCTTTCATTTCCTCAGACAGTGACAGCTCTGAGAAAAGGAAATGCTGATTGGACACAGCTGATCACATAGTAAAGAGCCAATGTCAATGGCTCTTTACCCAGATTGGTGGGACATAGTGCATCAAGGATCACCATGCTGCACACACCTAAACAAGAGAGATCCCACCCAGCCATCAGTGTTCAATAGGCGGGGGCGGGAACCAGTTAAGGACACAATTTTGAAAAGAAATTTGAGATTGAGATATCTTGGACTAAAATTTTTTTTTGTAAAATTAGAGAGCGTGGACTAAATTTTGTATTTGTATTTATTTTTTTGGTAAAAAGGTTAAAAATGAGAAAATAAAATGAAAAAAAAAAAACAACACAAAACAAAGAAAAATGAAAAACTTGGGGGCCAACTTGGTCTTTTTTTGCAGGCATGACTCTTCTCTGTGTTTGTTTTGTTTCAGTCTCTGGAAGATAGGTTATGGAGTGGTTCCATTTTTATAAATTTTGGAATAAAGAGTGGGAAGAAGAAGCCCACAATGGTGGATTATTGGGGTCTCAATATTACAAACCTTATTTTAGGATTTACATATATTTCTGGATATAGAGAGGAACCTGATTTCTAGTATCTAAGTCTGTGTATAAAAAAAAATTAGATAAGAGACTAGAATGCTCAGAAAACAGATGCACACCTTTTTTTTATATATTAGTTACAGTATGTGTCTCATGTTGAGATAAATATTATAAAATAATAGCTGTTAACAAAAAAAATATTACATTTGTAATTTTTCTCTTCAAGATAAATCGGCTTCATACCAGATGTCAGCACGTCTTAATTGTGAGAGATAAAAATCATATGAGTGTTATATATTATACACAGATCCCTGGGAGTATAATTCTCTTTTACCCAAGGCACAGCTTCCCGACCAGAGCTACATGAACCCCAGGGGTACTTCTGGTTCTTAAATTATACACATTACACTAGCTGCTACC